ATATATATATATATATATTTTATATACATATACACACACACTGTATTTATCAAGTTTGCAAATAAGCCTTTTTTTCTGTGACTTTACTGATCTGCTTAGTTTCTATGTTGGATAGCGTAGGAAAAGCTTAAAACCACTGTAGGTTTTTTTGGGGGTTATTGCCATCAGTGTCACATTAGGGAAATGTTCTTTTACTCTTATGGACTTAATAGGAATTGAGAGAATATTTTTTCCAGTGTGAGGACAATTCACTCTTAGATAGTTGTAATGGGAATAAGGCACTGGCGGAACTACCAGGGTTGCAGCGGTCGCATTCGTGACCGGGCCCTGGCGTTCCGCCACTTGGGGGTGGCCCAGCGAGGAAGAAGAGGGCCTTACCCCCCAGTGAGTAGCCGCTCGTTCCCTGACGCACAATCCGCCGCAGGTTATACAGGCAGCTGTGTGGCAAGGATGGTAGAGGCTGTCACCAGCAGAATATACTGCAGGCACCGCCGGGCAGCACATTCTGCTGTGTGAGGACCCGACCCTCTTAGCTCCGCCCCCTGAACGGGGAGACGAGGAAGAGAGAGGGACTTGTAGTCCCGCATAGCTGGTGGCATTCTACATTGCTGTATGATGACTATACAGCAATGCAGAATAGCTCCAACTATGTAGGACTACAAGTCCCAGCAATGCATTATAGTGGGGGGGGGGGGTTGTGTGGGGGGGGGATTCTGCATAGCTGACTTATTATAATGTATTGCTGGGACTTGTAGGAAACCGGGATTTATTCACAAAGTATTTTGATTAAATTGTTAATTGTGACCGTTAATAATATTCCGTCCATCATTTACTGCCATCCATCATTTACTGCCATGGATGGGATATTATTATCACAATTAACCATTACAAACGAATACTTTGTAAATAAATGCCTGTTTCCTCGGTAATCCCGTCTGTACGTAAACGCAGATACTGGGTCGGCGTTCTCGACTGAACACCTTGCTGGAGACCTCGGCAGCCTTCCTGTTAACCATGCGGTGCCATTGGGGTTGGGGGGGCCTTCATGGTTTCTTGCACCGGGGCCCTAAAGGGTCTAGTTACGCCACTGGAATAAGTGTATAAATACTGTATATGGTGATCATGCCAAAAGATCCAACCTTTTTGGGAAATAGTGTATAGGATATGAGAACATCTTGTCAAGTGGTCCAGGGATCTCTAAAGGTGCCCACACACCTTGCGATAATCGTACGTTAATCGCGGGAAATCCCGCGATCGTACGATTATCACAAGATGTGTGGAAGGCTTGCGACCTCTCCTACTGTAAGGTCGCATGACTTTTATCTTATGAACATGTTCGAAAACCCGCCGAGAATCGTACGAGGTGTGTGGCATGTTCGTAAGATAAATGCCGCACGGGCCGGTGTGCGCAAGCGCACAGTGCCCATTCGGCATTGCGGTCACAGGAAGCTCGTCCCTCAGGGGGGCGGGCTTGCGATGATGGCAAGTACGATCTGCCTGTCCAAGATGGGCAGATCGTACATTTTTTAAATTACTTTACAACCATCGCAAGACAAAAGTCTTGCGATGGGTGTAAGGTGTTTGCCCTGCATTACACCTGATTACTGATTATTATACCAGGTCCAATAGCAGAAGTTGATGCAAGAAAGGTATTAGCTAGATAATGGAGGTCTCAAGATACTCTGCAAATTAAAAATTGGGTTAAAGAAATTAACTTTTTGAGAAGGGTAGAAGAGTTAGTACTGCGATCACAGGATAGGTACCCACAATTTCTGGTCACATGGTACCCATGGATAAAATTTGATAGCGCTACTATGTGCGTATAGAGAATGAGAGGCATAGCCGTACGGCCACTGTAGAGGAAGTGGAGCGGCGAGGGGAAAGGAGAGTGGGAGTTGTTGGTTGTTTTTTTTTCTTTGGGTTTAGGGTTGGGAGGGGTTTTTTTTTCTCTCATGTTTCTTTCTTCTTTCTTATGGCTTTGTTTTAGCTGAGACCTTTAAAGAGAAGAATGCTTTCAATATTAGCGGAATATTGTATGCTGGTCTCTTAATAATAATAATGTCTGTATGTTTATACTGTGTATATAAATAATCTACAAAAAAGGATTCCTATTCCTGTTCTCAAAAATGTGGATTTACCCTCACTTTCGTTACTGGTGACATAGGTGATTAGGACAGTTAGACAGAAGGAACATCCCTAACCCCTAAGGTTCTAACCTGTCACCACTCTATCAAGAAAAAACGTGTTTTTTTTTTTAAAGTTACGCTTTAACTGCTTCCCATCCAGCTGCCGTTCATACACAACCAGACCGGAGCCGCCTAGATGCCGTTTTAAAACGCCCACCCCCACTCGTGCACGCCGTCCAGAGCGGAGACGAGCAGGAAAACCGCTCAATTGTGAAACCGCCAACAATGGCTGTTTAAATACAACTGTTTTGGCAACTGTAGAGCCGCCTGATTGCTTATATTTAATCAAAAAGTTTGTGTAATAATAAAAGTTTCATAATATAACATAGGGAAAACAGTGTTTTTTTTTCTCAAAATGTTTGGTATTTTTTTTGTTTTATAGTAAAAAATAAAAAAAACCCAGTGGTAATGAAATACCACCAAAAGAAAGCTCTATCTGTCCCCATAAAATAGTGTAAATTCAATTCAGTACAGCATTGCATGACAGAATAAATGTCAGTCAAAGTACTGCAGCGCTGAATACTGAAAAATGGCCCGGACAAGTAGTTAGGCTCATTCTATGCAGCATGGGTTTCTATAGGTAACCATTTGTGCCCAAGTATACTTTGGCATGCACAATAAAAATTGTATGGCTTTAGGCTTCTTCACCTAGTTTTACTAGCCCTCATTGATCAAAAAATGCATCTGCACATTATATTTCCACTATGGATATTGTCTGTTAGATCATACTGCATACCTCTATTTCCTAATACAATTTTCACCTGCAATCTACATAAACTGCCGGTAAGTCATATGGTTACAAAGCTTTCCTGGCTAGATATTCCTGTATTGGACATCAACAAAAGTATATAGATGCTGTATGATCAACAAAGTAAATTATCTACAAATATAATTATAGACAACTTTTATTTCTTGTTGTTTTATAACCACTATTTTTAAGGAACCCAAATGTTCACATGACCTATGCTTATTGGAATCAGGTATGGTTGATTGTGGACTAGCATGTACTATCATAACTACTGTAGTTTATTTTTATTTTATTATTTATCTCTTACTTTACATTTGTACAAGGTAAGCTCCTAGAGCTATATGGTGCTTTATTTATTAGGCAATTCATTTTGCTCTGTTAATTTTTATTTATAGAAAATTACCTGATTAGTACAAAAACAGCACTGAGCTGGAGTGAAATTCATTACTTCTGGAAGCCTCCGCTATTCCACTTATTAAAATGAACTCCTGTTTTTCCTTGAATAATAAAAAGCATTCATTTGCACTAATCCTTTGTTTCCTGGGTGTGCCCCAAAGTGAATCCCAGTCTGATTGAATTTGAATAACTCACTAATTGAAATGGTAAAGATGAACAGCCTTCATTTGCTGGATGCATGTTGCTGCAGAAATTCCCTTTAGTATTGCAGGTGTTCATTTAAAAGATGTCCTCTAACAGGTAAGATCCTATTTTATAGCTTAGAATATAGCTTATTTAAACATTGTAAAAATAAATAAATGCATTCCTAATAAGGATATGTGAAGGATATATGCATATTGTGTGGTACCTGTTCTGGTAGTGAAAAGGCAAAGTGGACTTACATCCCTTGACAAAGGTTTTTTGCTTTTTTTTTATTTTAAACTGGAGAAATGTGTTGTTGCCTATAGCCATCAATCGGATAACTGCATTTTTTTTCAAGCAGCTTAAATATCTACTCTGGTTACATTAAGCAACAGTTGCACTTTCCTCTAGTTCACTTTGCCCTGTATTGCAGAATCTGCCTTTTGTTTAGTAAGGGTTATTAGTAAGGATATTTTAAAATGTCCCCACTGTGTCAGACCTGCACCATATTAAAGGGATTCTTAAAAAGGAATAGAGCATCTTCACTAGGGAGTTTTCACTTAGCTTAGTTAATGTGGCGAAAACTCACTTTCCCCCAAAAAATATCCAATCGTATCCATGAAAAAATTCAAAACACAATGCATGCACATGATTGGGTGATTGTGCCACATGGTATACAAAGTGTTGAAAAATATCGTTATCTGGAACTTTAAACATTGTTCTAGCAAAAATAGAGCAATAACTTTGTATGTGACATGCAGCCTGCCACTAGCATTAAAACCACAGTTTTTTTCTCCCTTCTGTCATGTAGTTTCCATTACCTTTTTTTGATCCTGTAAGTGAATCTTTTATTTTTCCACCTCCTTTTAACTGGCCAAGCTGCCCCGCAAAGGTGTCAGTAACAGGGGTTAAGGGGACACACTATTTAACACTGGTGGGCTATTTAACACTGGTGGGGTTCCTACAATGGTCACCCTTTTATTTACATGCATT